TGGAGTAAACCGATGTAAACCAGTGTAATTTTATTCCCGGTTATTACCATGCTAACCGGATTGATTTGTGTATATAGTTGTGTAACCGAGTATTGTTGTAACTAACTCAGAATTAATAATAACAAAATTTTCCTCTCATCGCTCTACACTTTCTTTCTCTTGTTCTTCAATATTCATCGTTATTCATCACAGGGTTCTCTCAAGACTCATTTGTAAAGTCTCTGTTTATTTGAACGTGTCTCCTCTTCAATCTATCCATCAAGATTGACCACCAAATTGCTTCTGGAGATCCGTGAAGGATACGGTGGCTGAACCTCTCCGCTTGGCCTCTGGGTGAGACGAATGTTCTCTCCATCCCGTCATGTATATCACCTACACAGGTATGTCCAACAATATACGTTACGCCTCAAAACGTTGTCCAATGCGGGATTATGTACTTTTAGTTTTAGCATGCATTGTTTTGATCATTCCTTTATGTAAAGTTCAAACAGATATAGAATATTTTGGCTCTGGATTGTTTGTAGCAAAAACAACTTGAATAATGGAGCTGGGTTATGGTTTTTCCGCTGCTGAGTTAGTTCTAAAATTCTATTGACGGACCTGAAAGGTAGCAGGTATAGTGCCGTCCTCTGTGGCGAACATGGACTCATATATGGCTGCCGTGGCAAGAGCAGTTTCGCGATTCAAAATCTGTTTACGTAGTCAAGAAGATGAATTTTGGATAAGAACAATTGCGAAAAATCTGACAGAAGAAGAAGAAACCAACCTTGTTTCTCTGGAGAAGAGCGTTGGTTTCACCCATTGCACGAAGATGCTCTATAAGATCCAGCGCTGAGTAGAAAGGAAAATTTTAGAAGAAAATCTTGGAAGATAGACATTTTCGCCAATGATGAAGAACAAAAGTAGTTTACCACTCTTGTATTTAACTACATATTCATCAACGTCAACTCCAGGAAGACTAAAACCCGCCCTGGTCAAGAGATTCCCTGCGTCCCTAACCTGAAAGAAAAGATTAGCCAATAGCCATGTTCTTTAGCTCAGAACTAGAAATCAACTTGTTGGTTTTGCCATCTACAAATTGCAATTATCGCCATTTTCAAGATGGAAAGAAAATTAAATGAAGTTGTAAAGATTCACACACACCTGTGCCAAAGGCGATAACCGGGGACTAATGCCTCCTTCACGCTCCATGTGAGCCAAAGTGCATGCAATTCTCAGCTCCCTTATTAAAACAATTCAATTTATAAAGGATAATAAGAAAAACCAAATGGAGAGGTATTCGATATTGAGTCTTGGTTTGAAATGAAAGACGGGACAAACTTTAAGGTTTCTCCGCCAAGAATTGCTGCTAAAAATAGGCCATCAGGCTTCAGAGCCAGTTTGCACTGCAGTTATCACAATCCAAACCCAACACATTAATAATTTTGCTAAGAGGACAACCCAATTTACACAGAAGCAACAAAACCTGTATCATGGATCCTGGAAGATCGTTTGTCCAATGAAGCCCCAACGAACTAATGATCAAATCAACCGAACTTCGCAGACAACATTATCCAGATGTTAGTAGGATATAGAACACAGGTGAGCAGGTTTTACAATGTTTATTATCGTTACCTCTCCTTGATTGGCAGAAACTCCTCATCACCTACCAAATAAGATGTTTCGATGGAGTTATCGTGCGAATCATCTTGAGCATCTCTACATGATTTAATCATGTCATATGAGGTATCCATCATTGTAAGCTTCTCAATCCCACCTTTACAACAAAGCCAAACAAATTCAAAATGCAGATGAAATAAATCTAAACCAGGACTGTCA